GACAACACTAGTCTTGATTCCAAGCGTTGCATTCAATTACTTGTTTTGGAAGGTTTTGTTGTTCTTCACACACTTGACGGGTGTCTAATGGAGACAGATGTTAAAGCAGAGCTCCCACCTGTATGATAACATTCTATCGTTAAAAGTGCGTTAGATTCATTTTATACAAATATAGGCTGATTCTGATTTACAGAATGGATTGGCAACGAATCCTTCCAAAACTGCGTACAATTCCTAATAGAAAACATTCATAATGTTTCTTGAGAAAATGAGAGAGCGAGTGAAAATAAGCGTAGAGTATCTGCTTTTTTCATCCGGTTTATTCTACTCAGATCTGTAATCTCTTTGGGCAGCGTTCAGAGTGATCTAATGTGTATTAATACCACTAACGCACAGGCTCGATATCGGTCAAAGAAGAAAAGAAGAAATAAAACGACTGTTTATTGTAGACAATATTATTATTATGGTTCATGTATCCTCATCTTCTTTTCTTCAGGATATAACACCTTCTCCTGGATTTTCGTTAACATAAGTAGACAATTAGAGCATCAACTTCTTAGTTTTCGTGATAAGACATACCCCAATTATTGTTTAATGAAATACAAATTCCGATTGTTTTCATTGAGACATTAAAGACCAAAAACCAGTTTCGTTTCGTAGCAAATTATAAAAAACAACCTCTTATTTGTAGCGTGTAGCAAGCACTGACTTAAAGGCATGTATTTATTTTCTCCACACTTGACCACTCCCTCTAAATTGTCTAAAAATTAAAGCTTGTTTCTTTGTACTTGTGCAAAGAGGAGGTCCTGTTAGGGAAAGAATGATGTAGACAGTTTCTCTTTCTGATTCAAGGTCTTAAATCAGCATGATATTGTAAAATCAAGTTAAAACGGCCAAGTAGTTCTTTAAACATACAGGAAATAGTAGACTGAAACATTAGAGACGCCACGGAATCCTTCGATAGTTTGAGTAAAGGTCAATTTAAAAAACAACAGGGCTTTAACCCATTTGGGCGGGACACAAAATTGGGGGAAAACGTCTGGGAAACTGGGGCTTTTAGACGCAATGGCCCAAGATTGTTGTTTTTACTCTCTCCAAAACCCATTAAAAGTAGTGTGGATATGACGTCAGAACATTCCAAACATTGATCTAGTTTTACTTCTGTTTGGTAAACCGAGCCCTTTTAACGGATCATGTGTAATTTCCGGTGTCTGTGTTTAAATGCTTTCTTAGTCTTGACTTGATATTAGATTTTGTCATTTCGAGTTCCCTCTATGACCCATGGCTGGTGGTTTCTCCCGATCTATCACAGACAGCGATGAGCGCCGATCTCACCACGTGTTCTGAACCATTTACTTCCAATTCCTGTGAGACCCCGTTTTAGACTCTCCGTTTTTTGTTGGCTTCCTGTGTTGGTAGAACCGGAAGTTAGATATCGGTAATTCCCTCATACGCTTATACTACTGGTAGTAACATTATTATTCCACTTATTTTTTTCTTCTTGTCCAAAAAATCACAAACAACAAACAAACGAACAAAAACAAGCAAACGACGAAGCCTTTTCCGTTGAATAGTAGCCAGACATGTAAATACAAGACAATTCAGAAAAGAGTGATTTACAGTCAGAAAAAATAAGTTTATAAAAGAATGAGATTACTTCAGTCAAAGCTCAATTTGCTGTAATTTTTCTCGCCAGAAATTGTTACTAATGTACTCGAGATCAACCCATTCAGAACAGGAGAGAGAGGGATATATATATATATATATATATATATATATATATATATATATATATATATATATATATATAGAGAGAGAGAGAGAGAGAGAGAGAGAGAGAGAGAGAGAGAGAGAGAGAGAGAGAGAGAGAGAGAGAGAGAAGGTTCGTTGATTGGTTTACCTAATATCGTCTGTTTCGGTATAGAATAATAAGCTTCGTGCTTCTTCGGGAGATAAACTGACTAGTCCAATATGGCTGTTGTGTCAGAACTTGGAAAGGTAAGGTAAACGTTTAAAGTCTCTTTAAACACTGCAATTTGATTGAAAGGGAAAGATCTCCAATGTTAAATCATTTTTCGATAGGATAAAGACAAACAGGTCTTGAGCTAAGAAAGCTCCTTATTAAAAGTTCCAAGTCCGAATACTCGGTTAGATAATCTAGCATGATACCAATTAAGTTAGAAGTGCGCCTGTTTTAATGCAGGTGTTTTTACGCCTCCATCTATACAATTCAATTCATTTAGGGGAAAGGGATGGCTTCGACTCGAGCTGAGAAGGATATATCATCATCCCAGAGGAAAGACAGAGATACTCAATACCCCCCCCCCCCCCCCGCCCTCCCCCCCCGTTTTTGCCCAATTAAAGAATCAAGAAATCGCAGTCGGGTCTCCTGCGTGCGACAGCGAAAGGGGGAAGGGGGGGGGGGGCATAAAGACATGCTGCATAGCTCCATGAAAAATGCCTCCTTTTTGTTAAAATATGTCATACAAATATGGACATTTTCTCACCACTGATACTAAAGTGCAACATTTACTTCAACGTCTGACTGCCCTCTTTCTCTTTTATTTGATCCAGTAGACACTCGGCCAAGTCCTGGTTTTTGGCATTCCCTTTTGAGCAATATACGACATTTAACTCCAACACTTACAGATTAAAGCTACAATTATGTGTAAAAGAGATATTCAACTTTGTTTGTTATTACTACAAGAGACTATGCAGACAATTCAAAGATATACCATTGTCTATAAGAATCAATAGATTGACTCTTTTTTGTATCATAAGGCAGGGTTTAAATAACAAACATTTTTAAAGATCAATGGGCACTAAAAGTATTGTTCTATTCTATTTTGCAAAGTACTTGCTTCATACTTTTTAAAAAGGGCATGCTCCACACACAGTTTTCCAAATGCATGAGCACAGAAGCTTTGAAATTTGCAGACTGAACGTATTTTGTGAAGTGTATAAATCTGGTTAATTCAACCCGGCACCCGTCGGTCCAGGGAAAACAAATCTCCAGAAAAAAACATCATAAAATCCCAGTTGTCCCATGGAACCGTAATACAATGACAGCCGAGAATCTCTTGAGAGAGCGGAGACTGTTTTTTTTGTGTGTGTATAGGACAAATCAATACCATCGTGATTTACCTCGGCAGTTTGTAGCGGAAACAATACTGTGAGTTCCCTAGCAATTGCGGTTAGAACGGATCTCAGAGGGGCAACATAGACCATTTTATTGACACAAACATCCTCTTTGGCGTAGATACATTTCCAGAGTAAAAGAAGAAGGTACGGATGACACTTACAGTGTACCTCCCTTCTTGTCAGTCTATCTGTCTGTCTGTCTATCTGTTGGTCTGTCTTTTTGTCGGTCTGTCTATCTATATCTCTCTCTCTGCCTCTTTCTGTCTCTGTCTCTCTCTCTGTCTCTCTCTCTCTCTCTCTCTCTCTCTCTCTCTCTCTCTCTCTCTCTCTCTCTTTCTCTCTCTCTCGCTCTGCTCTCGCTCTCTCTGTCCTCTCTCTCACTCACTCTTACTCTCTTCAGGGACAGGTATAATATGCCTATTATATATCATATATATACATTTATGTATAGATCTAGTATAATATATAATATAAATATATATATATATATATATTATGTATAAATATAATATATATATATATATATTTATACACAAACACACACACACACACACACACACACACATATATATATATATATATATATATATATATATATATATATATATATATACAATGTAAGATAGATGGCTGATTATGATGTGTGTGTGTGTGTGTGTGTGTGTGTGTGTGTGTGTGTGTGTGTGTGTGTGTGTGTGTGTGTGTGTGTTTGTGTGCGTGTGTGTGTGTGTGTGATTGAGTGTTTAGCTAATAAATATCACTTTCTTTCTCGTTTGTCTATTTCTTTGTAATCTGAAAGTAAAACAGCGGTACATCTATTGAAAATGGTTTTACATATTGTGAGTCGCAGCTACAACTCTACAAACTTGACCCATAGCGTGCCCGTTGAGAGCTCATAAACATTTTACTCTTTAGACAAAACACATTTAGCGCGTTTTAAAATTGTAGGCATTCAGTACGCTTTTATGTTCCTTTCACTCCCATTTTATCTCTTATTGATTTACGTTTTGTGTTGCGAAAGTTTCAAAAATTGTGTTCTTGCTTTAAAAAACATGGAAAAGATTTAAGTAAAAAGAATGAAACTAAAACATACCACAATAAATATCGCCCTTGTACAAAGAACCTCTTGCCTGTGGGCAGAGGATCTTTTTGCCTCCGGGCTCTCTTTTTTCCTCTATGCTTCTTAGTTTTTAAGAACTCACAATATGCATCCGTGTAGGGTCAAAAGAAGGGAAAAAGCTATGGATATGTTAACACACATACACACTTCACTCTCAACCAGCTCAATTCTAAGGACGCAATCACACACAAAGACACAGACATACAGATACTCATTACACACTGCGTCACATACACACAAACACACATTCACACTCACACAAACACACTCACATACACAAGCACACACACACGCACACACACATACACACACATATACACACACTGCAAACCAAAGCCAACCATCACAGAAAATACAACCAACCAACCAACCATCCAAACAGACAAACAAGTAAACAAACAAGCAAACAAACAAACAAAAAACTAAAACAAACAAACAAACATAGTAATAAACAAAGAAGGCCCAGACGCTTCTTTCATAGCAAATTTTTAAAAAAGGTTTTTGTTTTGTTTTCGTTCGAATTTTACAACCCCAGGAAACACAAACCGATGATATAAGTTCCGAAGATTAGAGGTATTACAAGAAAGTAACAAACAATGAAAAGAAGGAAGAGAGGTAAGGACGATATTTTTTTATGTTTGGTAATAAAGAAGGAGCAAATCACACGAAGGACATCCGTCCGCCAACCACCCACGACACAACAGGTGGCAATTCACACAATTTCAACACTAGGCCTAACCTTCTTTCGGTAGACAACAAGGATGACGAAAATATTCCCAATGAGTCCGGAGATGATGACGACACAGTAGGAGAGAACGAGAGCGATGACGGTGGAGGTGGAGAACCAGAAAGTCTCGCTGGTATACTGCTGGACTAGGAATAAAATGGCTTCCGGGGGACGAGATGAGTTGAGCATGGCTTCAGGTATAGAGCTGCTGCTGTTTTCCATATCGCTCTCGGCTGTCATGGCTGGCAACCTTCAAGTTCTGAAAGTAACGACAGATTAACATACATTTTTATTGAGTGTTGGTTTCTATCAGTGCCTGCCAACCTGGCTGATATTACCCATAGGTTGGCAATTTGGTAATTTTAATGGGCAGTGGGGATCATCAGAAAAGTGACTGGTATTATTTAATGTCCCACTTGGAGATACATTGACATGTAGGTGAGTGGTATAGAAATTGTAGCCTCTTATGGGAGACGAAAGTAGGTGACGGCTATAACATGTTTGACAAGTACTGGTCTAAATCATGTCTGAGAAGATGTCTTTTAAATGAAAATAAGTATCCGATAGTAGTGTGGATTTAGGACCTCTTTAAACACTTTATATTTATTGTGAGATTTTCTTATTTTAATATCTAACCTATATTTTCACCTTTAGTTAGCTAGTTGAATACAAGCCATCGAAAACTCATTTAAAAAAATATTGTTTATGAATTGCTCGATGAAGACAAGAACTGTGTATCTAAAAAAAAGAGGACCCACTTAAATGGCTATAACTCGCATATCTATGTACTAATTTCAACAAAACTTCCAAGAATTAAAATACAACTAAGGGGAAGACAAATTTATCAATTGTGTTCATACATATCGAAAGCGCTTTCTCTTTCTTTCACAACCCATTTCAACGCTTTCGAGAAATATATAGTTTTAAAAAATCAACCAAAATTGAGTAGAAGGCACAATTTTACTTCTTAAAAGCTTTCAGATACAGTGGCGTGATCGGCCCATTCTGCTTTCAATACATGGACGGTAAAACCACAAAAGTCACATCAGATGGATATCTCACCGTGCTGAGAGAGTTACGGACAAGTTTGGGGAAGAGAAGGTGTAATTCTGTAGAGGCCTGGTTCCAGTGGGACGGGGCCAGACCCTACATGTCAAGAGTGGCCTTTTTGGGTGGTAAAAAAAAACCGTTTGAGGAACGCATCATAATCATAAGCCAAAGGTTCACAAATAAATGGTCACCACACTCCCTCCAACTTGGGTCTCTTCAGTTTTACCTTTGGGGTTAATTGACAGAGTCTAGAGAAATAATCCACAAGCAGTCTGACAGTTTAAACTCAATGTTGAACGGGACGGCCAAAGAATCGACCCAGAAACATGCCATGGGGTTATTCAAAATTTCCAGTGACGTATTGAAGTTTGTATGGTGAGAAATTGTGACCACCTGGAACTTTTGAGAGCCATCACCTCCCTGAGTTTATTTGGAAATATCAAATTTGTATAAATTTGTTCTTCAATACAGATTTTAAAATGACAATTTGAAATAAAACAATAAGGTTGGTTTTTTTAGAATTTGCAAAGTTTTGCGCATCACTTAAATTTGGTTTAAATTTTATTAACTTGATATTTTTCGAACAATGCTAAATAATATTTTTGATATTGACAAATATAACGTTTCCCTGATTTAATTTTATTTGGTCGAAGTTATGTTGAAATTGATCCTAAGATGATGGAGTTATTGCCCTTTAAATGGTCCCTTTTTTCGCCTGATGCAATGTCAACTAAGACGTAGCCGAGCGTCAACATAACATTTCGACAATTCTGAAGACTCAGAGGCTGTCAAAAAATAATAAACGAGACTGTGGTCAAATGAACAAATATGGTACTAATAATCATAATAACATACTGTGCTCTCTAATGATATTTTCTCTTAAATTCTAATGTCAGATCCACGACATAAAGCAAATATTTTGTGATATGTGTGGTGTTCAGATTCCGAGCAGTATTATATTACCTTTGCATTTTGAATCTTTTAAACCTTGGAATTGTTACATTCATACACATTATATTTGTACCCAGAGAATAATAAATTCGTAAATGTCATGGAGATAAGGTGGCGTCGGTAGGCACTTTATACGAAATTCCCATTTGGCTCAGTCCTTTCGGAGATGGACGTCAAACTCGGAAAGCCCCGCCTCCTAAATAACCTAATAGTGTTTTTTATGGAGATAAGGTGACTTTAGTGGAAAATAAAAGTCTTTTTTTCGTTTGGTATTTCTTTGTTACACAGCGATGACATTTTGAAGAAAGAATTTTGGCATTTACCATAAATTCATTTTGCTGATAAAAGTGAAACTGAGAGTTCAAAGTACTTAATTTCAGTTTTAAAAATCCAAATCCATGGTATTGAGTTGCGAAGGCTTCGGATTACTTGATTAGATCGAGGCTGTTAAGAAGAAAAGGGATCATGTGGTTGGTATTTTGAAATATGGAATGACATTTACTATGTGACACAAAACACCTTCTCACATATCTTTATTGCGAAATTCATTTTAAAGTTATGTCATACACACAGCTTTATCTTCCCACGCCGTGCAGTTTCTGCCACCTAGAATGAATATAAAATATTTGTAATGGTGTATTTTCACCTTCGTTTCTAAAATAACATTTAATTTGAACATCATTAACATAGATCTTCGCCGTTTTACAAATTGGGGTAAATATACCTTTCATACCCCAGCTATTTTAAGATATCCTGTCAGCTTGACAAAACACAACTGGGGTTGGTGGGGTTTCGCTGAGACGCTTAGAAAAAAAGGAGGGGGTAGGGTGAGCTCCTTTCTACGAATATACAGAACATAATCTGCTGCGCACTAGACAGCACTATGTGGGTATTCACCATCTACATTTTTTATTTCGATTTTGAATGATTTCAATGCCCATCCACAAGACTAACGGTTAAATTGGAAAGCGAATCGTTAGCTCTAGTAGAAAAAGGAAAAGAAAAAGGGACGTGGGTGGAAAGAAAGCAAAACTTACACTCCAACGCATCTATTGGCCATCTGGACTTGTGACCTTGAGCGTGCTGTTCCATCATTCAGGGCGCGGCATCTCCATCTGGAGAGCAACATTTCCTCTCCTATATTCTAAGCTTACGTGTGTGTACACATGTGTGTGTGTGTGTTTGCGTGCGTGTGTGTGTGTGCGTGTTTGTGTGTGTGTGTGTGTGAGAGAGAGAGAGAGAGAGAGAGAGAGAGAGAGAGAGAGAGAGAGAGAGAAACTTAGTGAGAGAGGGGGGGGGGGGATTTCTTAACCCTGGAAGCCTTTACTAAACACCGAATTCTGCAATCATTCAGGTACCTACGACATAGGCTCTCGAAGCCTCGCCTTCTGGTATCTTTCTGCCCAGCACCTTTAGCAGTAACGGAGAACCTAGGTTACAAACAGACTCTGCATACATTTCGAAGACGCTTTGGTTTTTCTTTCCCAGCCCATTTCAACATTGTCTTCCTTCCCAAGGTTTCATCACTTCGTGACTTCAGTTCCAATCAGCCACACATTCTTATTTCTTTCAGGCAACAGTCCACATCAATATTTCATTCTTGACAGATTCTTTCTATTTCAAGTGTCTACTTGAACAAGTCGTCATTCAGCTTCAATGACAGCTCCCAGTGCACGAACTTGGCATTTCATGCTCGACCTTAATAAAACCAACGTCAACGTGTTAAGAAATAACACGAGTACAATCTCCCCCTCCCACCCCACTTTCTACCATCTAGCGATAATATCAATCTTTGCAACGTTTTCGAAAAATTCGTACTTATTGAGTTTTCAAGAGTAATTAATTTTGCCGGTGTCGAAACTGATACAAAACGCGGAGTAAAACGAACCCAGAGAAAGCAATATTTGACAGTTATTTTTTTTTCTGCTTTGTTTTCAGTTTTCTCATTTTGTCCGTCAAAATTATTTTTGGCCAAGAGTAGATTCCGGCTCCCCCTCCCTCCC